AGTAGAGGGGCGCGTGCCAAGGCTTCCATTCATGTTAGTCGCGTGTTTAGTGACCCGATTTCGGGAACAGATTAGTGGGTATTTAACAAGATAATGGCTGGTGGATCAGCCTCCCCAAATTGCGACATATGTTGTTTTGGTTTTTGGTGTCAATTATTTGGTTTTTTGCATCAGCAAATTTTCCACGCCCAGAAGCGTGCGTTGCGATCTTATCAGCCGGAGCAGAGTGAATGGAACTTGGAGGTTCTAAGACAGCCACGAAATCCCCGACATGACCATGTGATCCGATCGCTAAAAAAAAAACGAATCACAGATAGGGAGAGCCAGTTTTAAACTGAGAACACGATTCTCCCACTCTCTTGAGCTTTTAATGAGAGCTTTGTCGATCGGGCCTTCTAGAAAATGATGAATATCAGGGAATAATAAACTGCACGGCAAAAAAAGGGGCTTACACTGAAGTGGCGATAAAACAGAAACCTTATCAGAAGCTTTAGGAATTAATAAAACTATCGTAAAACTTATTTTTCGGGTTTATAATTCATAGGGCCGTATAAAACGAAATAAAATTGTAAAATATTATCTTATTTCCCCTATTTAACCTCAGGCAAATGCCAAGTGTCTTACAATTATTTCTAAAAGTTCTGGAATAAAAGGCGGTCTTTATTACATGGTCTGGGCTTATCTGGCCCTATTTTCTAAACGTGACTGATGAATGGCAACTGTGTGACTTTGTCGTAAACGCGAGTTTAATTATACTCGCCTCTGCGCCTCCATCCTCACCATAATCATAATAATCACCATCCACACAGCCACAACTCACTTTTTATGCGGCCCAACTATATCATGAGGGTAAATATTTATAGTCGCCTGGTAACCTCGTCTTTCCTTTCCTCCTGATAACGAAGCCGGCGACACGATGACAGTGCAATTGATTGTGATTGTGGGGATGGCGACAACTGGCGACGACGACGTCGTCGTTTCTATTTCACCAATTCTGGACAGCAGTCCATCATGGCAACCGAAAAATTCTAGGTCGGAATGGACTTGAGAAAACCATCGTGTTTTATCGAACTTCCCCAACATTTGATTAGTCTGATATCAAAGGCCGTAAATGCCGACGCAAGATCCAAAGGGGTCAGCTATGCATATCGATCGCAGGTGATCGGGTGGGTAAATACGGGTTTATCTCGGGGAAGTCGTTCGGCGGAGTGGCTAAGTGGCCGGGGGCTGAGAATGGGGGTTTCCTGGGGTGGGTCGACAATATATCAATTAGACGGCATCTGGACTGTACTAATTAATGACAACATACTGTGTAAATTCTGAATTATTCATTTGCTGGCTGTGTCGAGTACAGTAGCCCCAACGTATGTAGTTTAACTAATGCGAAATCATTCATTATTTCCACAAAGCATGATATTTCATTTAAAATAACTAAATCACAATGAGAATAAGCTTCACATTTCTTATCACAAAATAATATTAGTTTGTGACTCAATTTCTTTACGAAATTAGTTTGTTTTATAATTCTTATAAGGGCACCAAAAGGTATGCTACAATATTTTCTTGAGTTTGGAAATCCTTTGGATTAATCTCAACAGTTTTAGATATCCTTTTAAATAAGTTGGAGATTTCTGTGCCACGCCCCTTTCTGGATCTTTTAGCCTGAGACCACTGTGCCTAGTGACGTTTTAATCAACAGCCGAACGCAGTATACTGGCTCTCCCCGTCTCTCTCTAATTTTGCGTGTGTGTACATTAACCGCTATTTGCTTAAGGTTCCGCCGCATGGCAAACAAAAAATCACCATATAAATAGAAAAAAACGAGAATCAAAGAAACCAATTTGTAGCAATCAGAAGACAAAATCAAATAATTTGTCACATGGGGGGCTTAACCCTCGCAAAAAAAAAAGAAAAATAAAGACCCCGCAAAAGCTTACTATCTCACACCCACCCACCGCTCTCTTGCTCTCTCTTTTTCGCCCTGGAAGTGTGAGTGAGAGGCAGAGCAAACAAACCCGATTCGCACTCTCACCAATGCACGTGTTTCTTTTGTTGTTCTGGTGGAAAGAGACGGGGAGAGGGGGTATTGGACAGGTGCTTACTCTACCACTTACCTCGCACGGATAAATCCATGATATTCTCCTTGGGCTCGCTCATTGCACTCTCTCCGGATCTCCCTATCGATTGCAAATCTTCAAAAACCGATTACCGATACACACGGTCGCAGCAACAACGCGTAACTGAAACTATTTTCAAAAAGATTAAATCATTTCCAAGGCGGCGCGGGGGAGCATGGAACATAAATTGAAAATCAAAACAAGAGCAACGCAACTTCAAGTACTACTCTCTCTCTCACTAGCTCACTCTCGCGCTCTGCTGCAGCCGGTGGAACACATCACGTGGTCTTTATCTTCACTGGAGCCACAGCCATTCAGTGGGGCCGAGCGAGAGGGGGCATAGTTGGGGAGAACCGAGAGAACCAATTGATATACGCCCATCCCGCTCGCTCGCACGGCCCCCTTATATAAGCCTTATGTAACGGAGAGTCGCAGGGGCATGCGCACATGGCAACAGTGGATCGTGGGGCCTTAAAAATAGAAATCTATACTAAATACCCACTTTGCGACTACGAACGATTCTGACTAATCGCTGTATTTCTATTTTAGTGGCAAGAGGGTCAAGTTGCAAAAGGATTTCATCAACAAATTATTTTTATTAATAAGAAATACTTTTATTTTTGGATTTAAATGAGGATTAAATGTAGAATTAAATTTCAATAAGATATCTTTAAGTGTCCTTATATAAGGTATTCTTAAGATAAGTTGCCTTTATTGTAAAAGAAAAAACATGCGGAATCAAGCAAAAAAATAGTACATTTAAAAAGAACCTAAATTTGGGGACATGGCTTTCAGGGATCAAAAACTATCAACAAATGTTCACAATTTTAATTTAACTTCTTCGATTTATGTGTCAGAGGGGGTTATGTGCATTTCATCAAAGGGAATCTAAGCACTTCTGTTATGATAAAAGCACAAAAATCCTTGCCCCTAAGCTAGATAAACAGGGCCAAACATCAGCGCAGCACAATCAAATTGATTGGCAACCTGTCCCCCCAATTTAGATACCACATAAGGTATGGGGCTGTCCATATATTACGTAATCACGTTTTTGGTGATTTTTGACCCCCTCCCCCCTGGTGATCAAACGTAATCATTCAATAAACAACCCCCCCAATGATTACGTAATCCCCAGAATAAAATTTTTTTTGTTTTAATCTGTGGATTCAAACGGAGATGCAACCCAATCTTTAATATTGTTTATAAATGAAGTTTGGTATGACACATTCGGTTCGTCTACGCTGATATTATCCCCAACATACTCTTCGTCAAGCCATTCCAGGTCTTCGCGTCCTTCGTGTGATTGAACCACTAAACATTCTTTTTTCGCCGCCCAGCCACTACAAAAATTTTTTCTCTGCTTTCCTATTTAAGTTTGTACCAGGGTCCGTAACTGTTATAAGTTTTATTTTAAAAATCACACTTTAACAGTTATTTTCTGATTTGTAAAGTAAAACTCAAGGAATAACTGTTATTTTTTGAGTTTTAAAATAAAAGTTGGCAAATAACAGTTATTTGTCGTGATCAAAAATAAAACTCAAACTTGATTTATGGCGATTTTGTGGGTAAAATAAATTTTAAAAAAATATAGGTATAAAATATGCACGGTTGCCTTTTTTAACAAATTTTTAGTAAGTTATATAAAACACGGGAATCATGTTTTTTTAATTATTTCATTTTTTCAAAAATGTCAAGGGAATAACTGTTATTCATAAAAATCAAAAAATAACAGTTATTTTTTGAGTTTTATTATAAAAATCAAAAAATAAAAATCATTACGGACTACAATGCGTGATTTTTTTGTATGAAAAATTTACAATAACACTTATTTTTGGTCCCTGGTTTGTAGATATAATTAAAGGAAAAAAGTTTTTAAATAAATTCTTTAAATAAAAAAATTAATATAAAATGATTACGTAATCATTGTACAAGACCCCCCCTCCCCATGTAATCAAACATAATCATTTCAATGACCCCCTCCCCCCTAGGTGATTACGTAATATATGGACAGCCCCTATGGGGAATTAGAGCGGGGATTACTTAGCTGAGGAAACGGTGGTGTTGCTTTTGGATGGGATCTAATGCTAATGCCTCCTTGGAAGGGGGGAAATCATAAAAATAAAATTCGATAGCTCAAGTGATATTATTTCCAATAAAAAATGTTGTAATGGGTGTTTTTGATTCGGGGTATGGACATTTTGTTTACTCATAATAAATAAATATTAAATAAAAAATAAAATGCTATGTTGAATAAGTGAACTTATAGTGGCTCTAAATATCTGAGATATTTTTAAGACATTTTATATTACTTGCAAAATATTAAACTCATTTTTAAAAAAATATATTTTTAGTTTTTCATGTGAAAGTATAAACAAAGTATATTACGGAACATTTTACTTTAGACAGTTTTAGTTTGGTTTTTGCCCGTTGAAAATTTAAGGGCGAACCCAGTTTGTTAGCATTTCTTTTCTACATTCTGGTTTATCTTTTAGAACTAAGAACTTTTTTAAACCCAATCTGTCTACATTTAAATTCTACACGATTAGCTTGAAATGTTATTATTTTACGAAATTAAAGTGTTCTAGTATGTTGTACATTATTTCTTTAACTGTTTTATAGAAACATTAATTTTTTAAAGTCATTTTCCTTATGATTTAAAATCGTGTGATATTGTTATTACTTTACAATGTAAAGCTTACAACATTTTCTTATTTTACATCAAATATTTAGCATACTTTTAAGCGTAAGTAATTTTAAAAAATTCTCCACGATCGCTGCCATGATACAATTGCTTAGTCTCTCTGTTTCATTCCGTCGTCTTGGAAACGTGTCTCTCTTTTTGTAATTCCCATTTGTTACTAGTCTTTTCATTCGCCGGAAAAAAGCTCTACAGTTCGGACGTACACTTAAAATCGCTGCCTCTTTTTATGAATTTTGTTTGTGCCACGGGCGCGCAAATAAATCGCAAAAATTGATATTGATTTCCATTCAATTTCTATTAAATTGTATTGGAAAAAATTCGCTCAAGTGTTAAAAACCAATTGATTTGTGTGTGTGGGTGTGTGAAAGTGAGCTTATGAGTGCGTGAAAAAATGCAATAATCCAGAAGGAGGAAAAAAAAAAAAAACAAAACAGCAATGCCAATTTAAAACAGTCAGAAAAGGAAAAATAGTGAAACGATTTAGGTACTACAAGGGAAAATACAAGAATAAATAAAGAATTCCTGTCTTAGCCGATAGAAATGCACAAGACCACAACAACAACAACAAATATGCAGCAGGCAACGGATCTTGACTTTGATTTCCAGATGCCGTGTCGCTATTTCAAAAGTTCTTTTGCGCGTTCGCTTTCGCTGAATAACAACAACAGCAACAATGGGAACGGCAACAACAACACTGCCTTGACATTGCCCAAGAAATCGCCGGCGAACGAGGCCAAGCTACAACAGCAACAACAACTGGAGAATCAGGAATCGCTAGAGAGAGACAGCGAACAGGATTCCCCCTGCGCCACCCCGCCCCCCGCTCTGCCGGCACGACGTCACACCGCCAACATGATACACTTTGGCGCCGCTAATCAGCTGCTCTCCGCACCACCACCCAGCCACCCTCCACCACTCCCCCCGCAACATGCTCAGCATGCACAACCACCGACACAATCCGCCAGGAATCTCAATCTCGTCTGGCCAATGCAACCGACACATCAGCCAGCACAGCAGCAGGTTAGTACAGTGGTCTTTAATCTTCTGAGAATTACGAATTTCTATTCCTAAGAATTACATTTGCGAAATGGGTTGATACAAAATATTTGTTAACTAAAAACAAATTTTTTAATGTAGGATCATCTATCTTCGAGAAGGCTAGAAAGATTAAAAGATTAATTTAAAGATAAAAATATCAGAAGTTCCCAATTAATTCCAGTTCCCAATTTTACCAGATAGATACCCTCCAATTGATCAAATCAATAAATTTGAACAAATTCCGTTTTAATTTTTGTACTTCATCTGTTTACCAAAGAATCACTATGGACGGCAGTCCATGTAGTGACGAAGCGCACCAGGAGAGTGTGCGAAGGCGACTACTATTATATAGCCGCAAAATTGAAAATCTGCTGTGATAGTCCGATCGTAATGAGTAATACACCAATCGAAAGGTATTGCAATAACTTAAAGGATTGCATACCAAGACTTTAAGAAAATCAATTGGCTTGGGAGAGAGAGCGGTGAAAGTGAAAAAATGAAAATTTCGAAATTTGGAGCTGTTGGGGCCGGTGGGGATAAATGCCCCCTCGCAATGTTTTAGTTGTATTCCTTTTGAAAATACCCGTCGAATGAGGGGTCATTTGTCAAAATCCGACGCTCCGTTCAAAAGTTATAGCCAAAATAAGATTTCCTTCTTCTTCCCAAAATGAAAACTTAATTCTGTTTGTCAGTTTGTCAGTTTGTCAGTTTGTCAGTTTGTCCAAAACATGTTTCTTAAGTTTTGAAAATTTAATATGACGTTCATCCCATCGATATAAAAAACTTTTGTTCTACCACTTTTGGAAAAACTCGCTAGTTTAGCGGGAAAACAGCTATAAATAGCTAAAATTCGGAAAACCGTAACTTCTATACTACTAAAGCTACAGGCTTGTGCTGCATCTCGTTTGAAAGGTATTTTTAAATGCTATAAACGCCTTCTATATGCAATTTGTGTAAATGTAATACTTAAAAAAATATGAACAAAAGACAATTTTTTAAAACTTTTTTTTAGCTTTTTTTATTTTTCTCAAAAACGGCTCTAACGATTTTCTTGAAAACTTTAAACTGTATAGCCCTTGAGATTCCTTAAATTTTGGTATATAACACATTACTGTAAAAAGTCAAGTTTAAAAGTTATTTTTATACGAAAATAGCCACTTTTGCCAGCTCGAACAATTTAAGCTTCCTGAGTATTGAATTTTGTGTGAGGGTATCCGAACTGTATTTTAGGGTCATGGAATCAGTAAATTTGCACTTAAGAGTTCCATATAGGAATCTTTTGTTCTACGACTTTTGGAAAAAGCCGCTACTTTAGCGGGAAAAAAGCTAAAAATAGCTACATTTCGTTAGTTTGTAAGTTCTACACTTCTAAAGGTACAGACATGTGCTATACCTCGTTTAAAAGGTATTTTGAAATACTTCAACGCCTTTTAAACTGAATTCGTTAAAATACAATAATTAAAAAATTATGATTTATGACCAATTTAAATTTAAATGTTTATACTAGCACCTATGAGAGCAAAAGTAAACAAACAAAAACTTCTGATATCAAATAAAAACACCTCTTAACGAGGTAAAAAACTAGTGACGATCGCACCTTCAACATACAAAAGTTCTGATATCAACATTTGTGACGAAAAATTATTACACTCGTCATTAAATAGACTTTCTAATATTTTTTTATTCGGCACGCTGCAATAGAAAATGCCTGTGAAGGGAAAAAGGCTGGAATAGTTTGCTAGGGCGGGCCGAATGAGAAAAGATTAGAAAGTCTATTTAATGACGAGTGTAATAATTTTTCGTCACAAATGTTGATATCAGAACTTTTGTATGTTGAAGGTGCGATCGTCACTAGTTTTTTACCTCGTTAAGAGGTGTTTTTATTTGATAGTGAATTAAGTGAATTAAAAAACATTTTTTGAAAGGGTTTGAATTTTGATAAATTTTGTTGTTCGAGTCTCTACTGTATAGCTTTATGCTTTCATTGCTTGGAACGCGTCTCCGTTTCCCCTCTCACTCTGCTCCACATCCCCTTCTCCCTTGCACTTTGTTATGTTGCCTGGGCAAAAAAGAAAAAAGTTTAGTTTCCTTTTTGGAGCAACTGGATATTTATGTCACCTTGTTGTTTGTCACGTAGCCTTGACAGCCTCCCCTTTACCATTCCCCTTTCTATCCCCATGAAACACTTCGCCTCCTTTGGCGTCTTTCAGTGGTTGTTGTTGTTGCTGGCCATGTTATGACAAAGTTTTTGTTTCTCCGATTTTTTAAGGTCAACTTGATTTATGTGCGAAAAGTGCTCGATTCGTTAGGGTTCGTGTGTGGGTCGTGATTGGAGAGCAAACTTCATTTGGCATTGATAAGGGTGATAAGGGGGGATAGTTGGAGGGTATATGTAATATTTATTAAGTGTTTTAACGAGTTCAGCAGCGGACATCAAGTGGAATCGAAAGTCTTAACTCACACGAATAGTTGGTAATACTGTTTTAAAGATATAAAACCTTTTTCATTTTTTAACAATAAGTATTATATTCAAAATAAGGAAAAAGTTATAAAATAACAAAATTAAGATATGTATCTTAAAAAAGAAAGTCTAGTAAATCTTATAAATCTTTCGCATAAATTTGATCGGGTGTAATTAAAGATTTCGGGTAAATTGAATAAGTGCCAACATTTCCATATATTTTTCATGTATTCGTTTGTTTGATTTGATCTGGAAAACTTTTTATTTCTATTAATCTGAAAGAAAAAATGTACCAAGAAAAAAAAGCTTTATGTCTTCAATGGATTCCAATGTTAAAAATACTTTTCTACATTTTATTTTTTTTGTCTTTAACAAATAAAAAAATTGGTTCGATTTTAAGAAAAGCTGTACCTTAATAAAACAATTTTCTTCGATTTTTGTGATAAGACAATTTTTTTAATATAACCGACTACTTTTTCTCAATTCCGGAACCTTTTCCTTTATTTATTTCTATCATTTCCTAAGCAGGTTGAGATTTCAAGTTATTTATGTTTCCCCTACCCTAAAATCATATGTTTCCACCTCCAATTTTCACTTCCTTCGATTTGAAGGCCTCTGCCGTCATCAGCCATCGCCACCCTCCACCTTTTGACCTTATCGAACAATCACAATATTTCCTCAATTCGTTCTCAAGCAAAAATATTCCATAATCACCCACCGATTCCGCTGAAAACTCAGGCGTAAACATCGAAAGCAAAACTTTTGTTTAAAGAAAATGCCAGCAAGGTCTTGGCCTAAACAGCAATTAGCCATAGAATTACTGTGTGTTGTTTCAGCTCCTTATATGTTTATGGTTTTTCGGGCCTAGAGCGTTTATTAGGGCGTTCAAAAAAGCGAATAAGTGCGTGCAAAGGTCAGGCCGTGAATTCATGATTGGGATTGGATTTTGGGGTGGCGATTTCCCAGGCCGTATATCCGATTTTCGTTTTGGAATTGGCAGCCATGGCAACAGACAATCAACAAGTTTATGGCCTTTTGTTTTCTTTGGGCATGCAAAACTACTGGCAACTGGATATGGCTAAGGCCCCCATCCCAAGCCTCATTACGAAATGTCGCCAAGATTTTGCGGCTTTAATAGCTGCCGATAAAACGTAATGAGAAAAAGTAGCAACAAAGCTTATTATTTTTATTTTACATTTTTTTTTCTTTCTTTTTTATTTTCTTTATGATTGTCACTTGATATCGCTGCCGGTTTTGTTGTTGCGGCCTCTTGGCCACACTTGAATGGCTCCGTTGTCGCATAATTTGAATTTTTCTAACCCAGCTGCTGCTGCTTTCCCTACTGTCGACTGCAACTTGCAACTTGTGGTGTAGGAGTTGCTTGCTCCATAGTTTCATCCTCCCCCGGAGGAGAGTTCATTGCATCGGGTTTTCACTTTCAATTGGCTGGCGGTGAAATAAGAAAAATAAAAATAAAAACAACCACTGCAAACCGCATTCGTTGACAGCTGACTTACCAACTACAATGGCCATCGCTGGCAGGCGTGAATAGAAGTCAAATTACGTTGACCTTACGGGGGATATTACCCAATACATCTGGCCATAACCCATCGAAGTCAAGTCAAGTTACGGTAACTAACTGCCAAAGAGAGTGTAACTTTTTCCATTAGCCTTTTACCAATAAAGAAATAACCCATGTACTTTTCAAAACCATTTTAATTATATGTTGTTTATTGGTTTTTTAGGGTACCTACATTTTACTATCCTAACTCACTTATGATTTTTTAATACGAAACTACTACGAAAAGTTTTCGTCGAAAATACAAAAATAAATTAACAAAAAATAGGTAGCATGATAACTTACCTAAATAAACTTTAAAATGTACACTTATTAGCACCAAATTATTTCCACCATATAAACGTTATGAAACTTGGTTAAATAAAGTTAATGTCACTCTAAAATTATACGCATAATTTTGCGCATGAATAATTATAATTTGCATGACAACTGCTTCAATTGAAATTCCTAATTACACCAAGTTTGGTATTTCCTAACCTTGATATTCGGCTTCGCCCTCTTTATACGTACATGATACATCATTAACTCTTGTCATTCGGTGCGTTTAGCCTAAAGATTGTCATATCGCTGAAATGTCTTTATTATGTCAGTTATAAGACCATGACCAGAGTAGGAGTATTACAAGTCGGTTTTTTTTTCCTCGGCTAATTGACGTTTAGGGTAATTGAAGGTAATTTCAGAGCATAATAAGGGATCTTATATCAAGCCACTAAGCAAAGATGGAGACGTAGCGTAATAAAAGTACCTGATTTAAATATTCTGCATGGCAAAAGATTTTTACAAAGAATTAAAAAGCTGATCTTGCTTGATTAAGTTAAATCGGGTCAAAAAAACCAATGATCAGCACTTCATAGGTTCGGTAAATTAAATGAAATTGAAACAGAAATTCGAAGATTATTTTTCTTGCGAAAGCTTAATGCAGATTAAAAAAACTTTCGGTAA